GTGGCGGCGCCTCACTAGGGTCGGTAGGCGCTCTCAGGATCACATCTTTTGGGTTTGGGGTGAGGATGATGTCAGTTTTTGGGATGAGTGGTGGTTAGGTGATAGATCGTTGTCTAGCGATAGGCAGGTGTCGCATTCCCCCTACCTGATTGTGAGCGACCTGTGGACGGACGGGTCGTGGGATAGGGGGAAGCTTGATAGCGAGCTGGGCTCCGGGGCGGGTTTTAGCGAGCAATTATTAGATCAGATCCAGCAGATCTCTATCTCGGGGGACGATTCGGATGGCATGAGGTGGAAACTTACATCATCGGGTGTGTTTTCTACTACCTCGGCTTGGGAGCAGATCAGGCTGAGAGATCGGCCTAATCTTCTCTTCAGAGCCATCTGGAGCGATCTTTTCACCCCTACTATTTCGGTTTTCCTTTGGTGCATCCTCTTGCGCCGGATACCCGTGGACACTGTTTTACATGCGAGGGGGATCTCCTCCCCTCCTGGTGTGTGTGTTGTTCTGAGACCGGACGTCATGAGACCGAGACCTTTACCCACCTTTTTCTAGAGAGTGAGATGGTGAGGAGAGTGTGGGAGCACTTTGCCACTTGGACTCATATATCCCTACCCACCACAGACAGTTTCTTTGAGCTCCTGAGTTTTTTCTCATAGAGCACATACTTTAGACACGTGGGCTTCCTCATTCTTTGTCTGATCTTTTGGTTCACCTGGATGGAAAGGAATAGTGCGAAGCATAGGGATATTACTTTTTTGCTTTCTCACATTGTCTTGCAGGTACAGAGACATCTTTCACTCCTCACATCATTGGGCAGGCTCACTGCCAGAGACTGGACAGGCTGCACGCCACCACACCGCTACATGGTGGTTCCCCCTGCGCCTGTTCGGCCTCCTAGGCCCAGAGCTGTCGTTTGGCTTCGCCCCGATTCCCCTTAGGTCAAGCTGAAAATTGATGGCTCTTTCGATCGCCAGACCGGAGTTGCCGGAGGAGGAGGTTTGATCCGGGACCACAGCGGCGCCCTTATCACCGCATTTCACATGTCCCTTCAGGCCTTCTCGAGCTACGATGCAGAGATTCAGGGACTACAGATTGGCCTTCAGCTTGCTGCTCACCTCTCTAGTCCATATTTGGATCGAGCTGGACGCTGCGGCGGTCGTCACCATCCTGACCTCGGGCCACCAGGGCTCGTGGCAAATTCAGCACCCGCTTATGCGCATTAGAGCTCTCCTGCGGTCTGTCCATCACAGGATTACGCACATTTTCCGTGAGAGAACAGACCTGCTGACTACCTTGCTAGTCTTGACGCCATCAGATCATACATTTATTCCGGGCACCTGTCAGCCCGATGACAGACCTTGTATTTTTTCCTTTTCTTTTTCTGTTTCTGTTTTCTTTTTGTTTGTGAGATTATGTTGACTGTGGTTGTTTGATATTTGGGCCTGTTTTGGGGTCTTGATCTATATACAGGTTGGGGGTCCAGCCCAATCCCCCGCCCCCGGGGCGTTGTTTTTTTTTTTAAAAAAAAAAAGAAAAAAACCTAGCACCATCAGAAAAACTAACCTAGCAACTACTAACCTAGCACCATCAGGCAACTAACTTAGCACCATCAGACAACTAACCTAGAACAATCATACAACTAACCTAGCAACTATTAACCTAGCACCATCAGACAACTAACATAGCACAATCATACAACTAACCTAGCACCATCAGAAAAATAACCTAGCACCATCAGATAACTAACCTAGCACAATCATACAACTAACCTAGCACAATCATACAACTAACCTAGCACAATCATACAACTAACCTAGCACCATCAGACAATTAACCTAGCAACTACTAATCTAGCACAATCATACAACTAACCTAGCACAATCATACAATTAACCTAGCACCATCAGACCGGCTTGGGAGCAGATCAGGCTGAGAGATCGGCCTAATCTTCTCTTCGGAGCCATATGGAGCGATCTTTTCACCCCTACCATTTCGGTATTCCTTTGGCGCCTTCTATTACGCCGGATACCCGTGGACACTGTTTTACATGCGAGGGGGATCTCCTTCCCCTCCCGATGTGTGTGTTGTTC